TGCTATTTCGCAGAAGTTTAGCAGTTTTCGCTAGCGGAAAAATTATTCTATCAACATATGTCAACGCAAATACTTCGTTTCCTCGTAATACTTCACTTCGAAAATTGTTACGGGTGCTAAAGTGTCCCAATTCAAGAGCATGCGCTTTAGAAACCACTGCAAGTTTTCTTGCACTTCCGGTTCCGTATGTCCCAGGGCTTAGGGCTTAGAGAGGACGCGCGCGGCCAAGAGGCCCTGGGGACGAGAATGGGGGTGGACTTGATCAAATTCTCTGACTCAAGTCAAGTTTAGCTATTGACTCGACTCGACTTAAACCAGTGACTCGACTTCACCTGTGTGAAACCACTGACTCGAGTCGAGTGAAGCCACTGACTCGACTCGTGACTCGACCTGCAGGTGACTCGTTACAACACTGATTGTCACACCTATCCTTTACCACTTCTGTAACATGAGTTTGATAACTGTTTATGCAATTTTCTGCACTCTAAAGTTTTTTGTTGTCTGCAAATATACTTTTTTGAAATATCATTTTCCCCCATGACAAATCGCGAAATGCAGCTGGTCCCTTTTAATAATTGTTTATTCAATAAGTTTTGTGACAACAGCGGAATTAGGAGTATTATTGCAGCAATTTTTGGATCTGATCTAAAACTCCACACGAGTTAGAACGCGAGTGAACACAAGTGAACACAAATGAACACGAATGAACACGAATGAACGAAAACGAGTAAACACGAATGGAACACGAGTAAACACAAGTGAACACGAATAGAACACGAGTGAAATATGATAAGATCATATCCGCAATATATACTTGCAAGATAACGTACTAAACTACCAAAAGCTCTTGTTGTAGAACACAAGAACCGCAGGCTGTAGGCACGAGATTACACACCAACGTGGAACGCATAAACAGGGGCGGAGCGAAGACTATCCTTTTCGGGGGGTGCAAGACAACTTTTTGCCGACAAAAGGGCGTGGCTAGGGCGCGGTTAGGGCGTGGTCAAAGCAAACCGTATTCATTTTTAAGTGATATACAATGATTAACGCCTTGTAGTAAGATAATTAATTTACTTTTAAAATAGGCGAAATAGTTCCGAAAAAAAATTGAAAAAGCAATGTATCCATTCGTCATCAAACGACCGATTGCAAACTAAACACGTCAGTTTCTCTCTCTTCCATTTGCGTTTTTGCTTGCCTGTCCATACTTTTAAATCATCTCCATATTTCTCATTGTATAAAAGACTGTAAGGTGTAACTAAGACTTTTACTGGCTTTACAAGATTATGAAATGAAGCGCACACGCATCAACAGTCAACACGCACATGTGCTTCAAATTTCCTGGCTATGGTATACTTCACAAAATTGCAAGAAAATATAATACTATTAAATAGCGTATTAGCGTAATAAGTTCTTGGCAAATTTAGCTGAATGTTCGGAAAAGGACCGAGCTTTCAATCGACATATCCATCTTTTCGATCTTGCATTTTCTACAAATTTTCTACAATCTCTCTCCAATCAGGTATTGCATGCCTATTGGCTTGATCCAATTTATTTTGCCGACAACTGATTTATTGTGCCGACGGACACGGCATTGGGGGGGTGCAGCACCCCCCGCACCCCCCCTCCCCCCCTTAGCTACGCCCCTGCGCATAAAAGCTTGGTATAGTTTATTTCTTTCATCGTGGAGATGGAATAGGCATTCATTTTCATGTTGATTTATTTTACTCTTGAGATCGACGTGTTTTCTGTCTTTTGAAAACAAGAACTGCAATTATACTATTCTCAATCGCTTCATACTTCCAATTGTAACGGAAGTGCCAGGACACTTACTATATTAATATTGAGACACATTGGTGTTAAGGTTTCTTGTTTCGGTAGTAGAATATGTCTGAGACAGTTCAAATTTGGAAAATAAACCATCCATATAGTTAGTTGCGATATTTCCAAATTCTCTGCGCATGCTAATAGCGTTGCAACGTCCTGAAAGCCTCCATGGAATGGAGTGGTCGTTGCAACCGGGTGTGGGAACAACAGCCCCTACCAACATTTATTGACAAAATACCTATTAATTATCAAATCCACAAGAAATCGGTTTTGAATCCCCCTACTACCCCCCTCCCGCTCCCACATGTCTACCCTCAAGAGATTGTTACTGCACTGCCTTGCCTAACAACACAATAGAACGTTTGCACTCATTCCCCAGGGACCAACTCAACAAAAACCATATCGGCCATGTTGGTATTCCATGTTGGTAATTAAAATTCTTTTAATTAATTAGAACACCAACTGTGACGTCATGTGCAAACACTCTCTCCCCGCAAGAATCAATTTTATTTTGTTCGTAGTGTGAGTATGGGCCTATTAATAAGTCGTATTAGTGTTTCTGGTGATCTGATCTAAAATTCCACAGTGTAATTTTGGCCCTTGGTGCTTTTGCAGTCCATGATGTTTGTCAGTACGGATGTATAAGTTCTGATGAAATTTAAACATTTAATCCGGTTGCAATATCAGTTGTTTCAATAAAATTCAGTGCAATTCAATTTGTTTTTATTTTATAGTCTATAATCTTCATAAAACTTTGGCTGCATTATAAAAACGTTGTTAGGCTAATTAGATGTTAAACTATATAGATTTAAAATAACGAAATATCACCATTAAATAGTTGACAGTCCACTAAAAAAATTGAGTTCGAAATTTCGTATGGTAGACAGTTTATACAAAGCTCAAGTCTAGGTTGACTGAATAAGTAGCAGCCACTTTGAGCGATTATTCCCACATATTCTTGAGGAGAAAAATCCTAACAAAAGTTACGATTGAAAACTTGTCTCTCTGGAATTGATTTTGCAGTTCAAACTTACCGGGCAGTTAGCGTTTAATATTTCAAAAGCGCTCGAAAATCGGCACGGTTGGTGCGATTTTACAGCTTGGATTATTATAGGCGTGGAAATGTAGCTACAATTTTACGAAAGGTAGGCTATATATGGAAGTGTTGAATTACCTTCAATGCCACCGAGAATTCCAGAAACTATGACCAGAGCTGCAATTAAGGACTTCATCGTTGACCCAAATAAATGCCTTGTGTCTTCTGTGTCTCAGATAAATATCTTACGAACTGTTTATATCAGTTACTCAGACTTTTATTTCCACCATTGCGTGAGCTACCGAACAATCTTCAGAGTTATTATAGCGTTAAATTGTTGTCGTGGGTGTTTTCCAGTACGAAAGAGCTACAAAGATTAATAAAATTACTGCCACTTTTATCATATTTGTAAAAAGAGAGGTGTTATGAAAGAAAAATTAAAAGTTATATTTAAAAAGTACAGTATTTTTAGTGACACAAAACAAAGAGAAAAAAATACAATTCGTTAACTTTACCTGGACACGGCTAGCTATCTATATATAAACGTACGTTTGAGTGATACCTTTTTCCTTACAAGGCCGCGTTATTTTACGAAAGGTAGGTTATATTTGAAAATGTTGATTTACCTTCAATGCCACCGAGAATTCCAGAAACTATGACCAGAGCTGCAATTAAGGACTTTATCCTTGACCCAAATAAATGCCTTGTGTCTTCTGCGTCTCAGATAGAAATGTTACGAACTGTTTATATCAGTTACTCAGACTTTTATTTCCACCGATTGCGTGAGCTACCGAACAATCTTCAGAGTTATTATAGCGTTAAATTGTTGTCGTGGGTGTTTTCCAGTACGAAAGAGCTAAGAAGATTAATAACATACTGGAAGTTACTAACGCAAGGAAAGTGCTGCCTCGCGGCCAAAACTTAGTAGGTTGTTCAAAATCTGTTTATAATCCGTGGATAATTCAAAACTAAATAACACTATACTGGAAACATACTACACTATTATAATTTTTAAATTAAACAATGAAAATCGTATTTTATTGTAACAATCGCGTACATATATGTTACAACAATATTATTATTATTATTATTATTATTATTATTATTATTATTATTATTATTATAAAAATATCAAGATCTAATTTACGAACAGCTAAAAAATTATGAAAAAGTAAAATTTGTAAATTTATCGATTAGCTCATTAGGAGTTTTCAGCCACCCGTCGCTAGATTTCACCGAAATGCTGAAGGATCTAAAGGTTGATGAACAATGTAGAAAGTACTATGTTCGGAAAATTATTAACATATGTATCAGGTCCTCGTATTATATATTCTGTAAGCGTAACAAAGAATGGGATAACCCACAACTAATGTCATACTAATATTGTTATTATGTAGAGTGTTAATTCAAGTAGACTCTGGTAAACTACCTGTAAAGAGAGGTTTATCATTGTAGTGTGTATATATATTATTGAAAGTAATAAAGTTTCCATTATTATATAATGATTTATTATTATTATTAATGATATATTATTATTATTATTATTATATAATAATATTTTGTAAGAGAAATAAGAACTGGTCTTGCCCTGAAAAGCTCAACTTCTATTAGCTACTAATGTGTGACAGTGTAGATAACGGACCTGCTTTATTCAGACAACTGTTGTCTTATTATTAAGTGTAGTTAGGGAAAATTTGGTCTGGACTCATAAATGTATGACTATATGGGTTAGGCTATGCAATTGATTTGTAAAGGTTTCAAAAAAATTATTATTATTATTATTATTATTATTATTATAAAAAAAATTATTATTATTATATTTATTATTATTATTATTATTATTATTATTATTATTATTATTATTATTATTATTATTATTATTATTATTATTATTATTATTATTATTATTATTATCATTATCATTATTATTATTATTATTGTTATTATTATTATTATTATTATTATTATTAATATGTAGCTCGCACATTGCGTGATAAGTTGCGTGAATGCTTGTCAAATCAATACAACTCAAAACCAAAACAAAACGTTCAATCACGACAATTACATTAGTAGAAATTTCTGGGGTTACGTTAAGAACGTCCTGAATAAGAATACTTGCCTACTTCCATGCTTTCCAATGTCAGAATGCCTAAACTATTTCAAGAAAACTCTATGTTCAATTAACCCAAACAAACTGTTTTGTATTCCAAGCTGGATTCCGAAGTTATCCGATCCTATCGTAAACTTTGACCTTCAACCCCCAACATATCGCCAAGTTACAAACATTATTCGCAGAATAAAAGCTTCTGGATCGCCTTGTCCTCTAGGTCAACTTTCAATCATTTGCTTCAAACGTTGTCCATTCTTGCGCACTTATCTAACCGAAGTGATACGTAGCGTCTGGTCTTCGAAATCTGTACCAGCTGAATGGAAAAAAGCGTGTTCTATTCTTATCCACAAAAAAGGCAATACAAGTGACCCCTCCAATTTCCGCCCAATTACTCCAGAAACTATACAACTAAAAGTGTTTACCTCTTGTCTCCGCAATGCTATGTTCTCGTTCCTAACTGCTAATAACTTTATTGAACATCAGATTCAAAAAGGTTTCACTCCCAATCTGTCTGGCACTCTGGAACACACTGCTCAAATGACAAATATTATCAACCAAGCGAGAATAAAGCAGCGCTCTGTTGTCATCACCCTTCTCGATCTCAAGAATGCTTTTGGTGAAGTGCATCATAATCTAATTCAATCTGTCCTCGACTATCATCACATTCCCAAAGACGTTAGTGAAATAATAAAGAGCTTGTATACGGACTTCAATACTGCATTTATAACATCAGAATTCTCCGCCCCATTTATAACTGTCGGTCGTGGAGTTCTTCAAGGAAACTGTCTTAGTCCTCTAATTTTTAATATGTGCATCAATTCCTTTATTCAACATAAAAACTGACAAATACCGGCAATTTGGTTTCATTACAAATCTTTTAAACCCAGTCCATTGGTTCCAGTTCGCTGATGATGCTGCGGTAATACTAATAAGCGGTCAAGATTCAGGAAATCAACATCTTTTAAATCGATTCTCGATCTGGTGCCAGTGGTCTAACATGATTGTCAGGGTTGATAAGTGTTCAACATTTGGGATCAGGAAAAGTCTGACAAAATCTATCCAATATTTACCTAAACTTCTGATTAACAATGAATTGATACCTGCCACTAAAGTTGCAGAGTTGTTTCGATACTTGGGGAAATATTTTGACTTCAGTATGTCCGAAAAAGAACACAAACAAGAGCTAACCACTCTCAAGGACGACATTATGTCAGAAATTGATCTCAAACCTTTGCACCCAAAAAATAAACTTTTGCTTTATAGTCGTTACCTCCTATCCAAACTTTCCTGGCATTTCACTGTAACTACCTTATCGAAAACCTGGGTCTCTGAAAATATGGATTCTGTGGTGAACAAGTACGTACGTAAATGGCTTGAAATACCTATATCAGGAACTCTATCTAACGTCTACCTTACCAGTAACAAGTTTGGTCTAAATATCTACCCGCCGTCAATTAAGTTTGTTCAGTGCCAAACAGTTGCTCGTAACGCCTTAAAGACCTCTCCAAATCATTCCATAAAAGACCTCTGGAAAACAACAACTGAGAGCAAAAACATTCAGTACGACGTCTACACCTCGACAAAGGAAGTCCTTAAAACTTTTACCTCCGGACAAGAAGACAAACTGCAGAATCATCTGATTTTGCAAGGCTCCTTCTTCTCAAAGTATAAACGAAAGTAAATTGCTACTATGTTCAATATAATTTATATAAAGTAAAAATAAAATTGGTCCAAGAATTGAACCCTGTGGGACACCTGTTTTAATTGTCATTTCTTCTGACCTAGTTTGATTGTACTTGACAATTTGTTTTCTGTCTGTTAAATAATTGTCAAACCATAGTTGAGTAACTCCACGTATGCCGTAATGTTCTAATTTTTGAGCCAGAATCTTGTGATTAATAGTATCAAATGCTTTTGACAAATCGAGGAATATACTCATTGTATATTCTCCTTTATCAATCGCTTTAGTAATTCTATCGGTAAGTTCAATGACTGCAAGCTCAGTAGATCTATTTTCTCTGAAACCATATTGGTGTTTGCTTAATATTTTACTTTTTTCTATAAATTTAATTAATCTCCTATACATGACTTTTTCCAATAATTTTGCAAAACAAGTAAGAACAGATATTGGTCTATAACTTTTCAATTCATTTTTTTCATTTGCTTTATAAATTGGAGTAACTATAGAGCTATTTTTAATTTATCTGGAATAAATTAAGTTGATTCCTCTGTGCATATTCGTGTGAACACAAGACAAGCTATCTTGAAGAACTATAATCATAGACATAACCTCTTGCCTAATAAACAATCATGGCGGAAGGACGTGCTCTTAATAGGCTCCATCAAAATGTTGCTAATACAAATGAAAATAGTTGTCTGAATTCCTTTCTTACTAGTGCTAGTTGCACTAAACTGTCTGGCATGTCTTATGATGGAGTACGTTTAAAGTGGACCGGTGATTTAACAAATTTAAAACGAATTGTACGAGAAGTGTGGTGCCTTGAAGGCAAATGGTCATCACCTGGGGGCCAGTCGAAGAAGTTTTCTAGCACAAACTCTGACTTAGTAGTCACATGGCATAAAGGTAAAGCAAAATCTGTGCTTTTTAAAGGTAGAGACGGTGTTTTGGTGCGAGATCGATGTATATTGCTTTGCGAACAAGCAACTCAGTCCATGCTAAAGCCTCATTTGCCAGACTCCAATGAAATTAAACTGTCGCAGCAAAATATTACAAGTGCGTGTAATTTCCCTAACCTATCGGACAGAAATATGAATGCCGCCATCGATTCCCCTTCCCCGGTTGAAAGTACACAAGGCAGAACTATCCATCGTTCAGCTCCCGCTTTTGTCAATAATCATTGCCAGACTGAGCATATGGAGCTGAATAATAATAATTGTGGTTGTGGCTGTGGAATTCTGGTTGCTGAGTTTGAAGGGATAAAACTTGATTTAGTTATTTTACAAAAGAAATTTGAGATTGAATTTGCGACCGAACGTACCAATGTAAGCCAACTTAAGCGGGAACTTGCTCATGAAAAAGATAAAAACAGTCGTCTCGAGTCGAACTTGACTTTGTTTGTGAGAGAAAGAAATGCCGAAGTTGATGAATTGAATGAAACAATAGCCTTACTTAACGACAGAATCAAAACTAGTGAAGCGATTATTGATCAACTGAGACCTTCTAATGCAAGCATAAATTTGGAAGAAACATGTACTTTTGATTCTGCTCAATCAAAAGATTAGCTTGTCGGAAAATATCCAGTTTGTGTCGACATTAGTACGCAAACCAAGAATGACGATCAAAAATTATCCAATAATAGGAGAAAATGTAAGCAACTCGAAAGCGATTTAACTATTTTAGTCATGATTTGAATAATACTATTGTCTGGCTTGAGAATAAACTCAAGTCAACTGAAGCGAGTAATGAATCTTTAAGTGAAACAATAATGCGCATAAATTCAGTTAAACTTTTGAAATCAAAACAATGCGGAATTCTTCCATTCCTGAATCGGACCAAAGAATGTGATCAAATCAATAATGACCGTATTGAGGTGGAATCACCAGTACATGATAATACGAAGGATGTATGTCTAAAACCGAATGACAATAAACCCGAGGATAGTAATGAGGAAAACGAAAGGGTTAGTCAGCCTATGGCAGCTAATATACAAGCTAGTCACGAGGTAAATACTAATTTGAACGCCTCGTTGCAGTCGGAAAAACGCTCTGAGGGAGAGATCTCTAAAGTTTATAGTAGTGACCAGTTTATTCATAACCCAAGTGGCCCTAATCCATCTGAAGGTCAGAATGTCAAATGGCATAGGAAAAGTATTTTACCCAACTCGCGATCTTTACGGCAAAATACATCCTGGATTAACTCCTTACCCTTGATTGATACG